AACCAAAAAAGAATCCCCCTCGTCCTCACGTACCACCCCACCAACCTCCGGATCCAACGCATCATCCTCCGACACTTCCGCCATCTGCAATCCGACCCCACCACCAAAGACATCTTTCCCTCCCCACCTTTATCTGCTTTCCGGAGGGACAACTCTCTCCGTGACTCCCTCGTCCGCTCCACACTCCCCTCCAGCTCCACCACACCCGGCACTTTTCCCTGCAACCGCAGGAAGTGCTACACCTGCCCCCATACCTCCTCCCTCACCCCCATCCCAGGCCCCAAGAAGACTTTCCACATCAAGCAGATGTTCACCTGCACATCTGCCAATGTGGTATACTGCATCCGCTGTACCCGGTGTGGCTTCCTCTACATCGGGGAAACCAAGCGGAGACTCGGGGACCGCTTTGCAGAACACTTACGCTCGGTTCGCAACAAACAACTGCACCTCCCGGTCGCGAACCATTTCAACTCCCCCTCCCATTCCTCAGACGACATGTCCATCCTGGGCCTCCTGCAGTGCCACAACGATGCCACCCGAAGGTTGCAGGAACAGCAACTCATATTCCGCTTGGGAACCCTGCAGCCCAATGGTATCAATGTGGATTTCACAAGTTTCAAAATCTCCCCTCCCCCCACCGCATCCCAAAACCAGTCCAGCTCGTCCCTGCCTCCCTAACCTGTTCTTCCTCCCACCTATCCCCTCCTCCCACCTCAAGCCGCACCTCCATCTCCTACCGACCAACCTCATCCCGCCCCCTTGACCTGTCCGTCCTCCCTGGACTGACCTATCCCCTTCCTAACTCCCTACCTACACTCACCTTTCCTGGCCCCATCCCCGCCTCTTCGACCTGTTTGTTTCCTCTCCACCTATCCTCTCCTCTATCCCTCTTCTATCCGCCTCCCACTCTCTCCCTATTTATTTCAAAACCCCCTTCCCCTCCCCCTTTTCTGATGAAGGGTCTAGGCCCGAAACGTCAGCCTCTCTGCTCCTATGATGCTGCTTGGCCTGCTGTGTTCATCCAGCCCTGCACCTTGTTGTCTCGGATTCTCCAGCATCTGCAGTTCCTACTATCTCTGACACCATGTTGATGAGATTTGATTATGACACAATTTTTTAAAAAATGTGTTTTGTACAAAAAATCTCCACGATTAAAACTTGGAGGAATGAGATTCTACATTTGTAATGGTTAATTTTCCATCCCGGAAGGACCGGCAGTGATTGACCCATTGCCATTATTCCTATGACTCTACATTGCTTGAAACTGAAGGTTTTGCACAATTACAGTTTCTGCCACTAATTTGTTAAACGTGGAATCTACCTCAGTTATTAGCTCCATGTTGCTGCTCATTCACAAAGCAGGAACTGTTTATGCCAGGAACTGTGCCTTTTCCAATGAACTGACTTAATAGAGCACAATGTATTTAACCTATGACCTAATTGAGCTGGAACTTCACTGTTGTAGGTTTCTGCATCAGGATCCCTCGACCCTCTGATTGTGACACAGATGCACAACAGTCTGAGTGCAACAGGTAAAAACTGCTCTGATTATCACTGGTTTATCAAACCTCAGGTCAGAAATTCACTGATGAGACATCATAGATTTATGTAGGAGAAAACAGATCCACTTAAAATGAGAACTAGGTATCTTGTGTTCTAACTGGACAAAGATTGCGAGGATGATAAATATTTCTGGCTCAGCTGTAAACAATATTCTTCAGTCATCAAACTGTGGGTAACCAATTTCCCTGTTGGTGTCCTCCTGTCTTGAGCAAGGGAGTTACTTTATTGTTTGGGTACAGATGCTGCGGAATAAGAGAAAAATGCGATCTGCTAACTAGGACAGGGAGGTGAAACTGAAACCCGTTACAGTCATCAGGGAAATGGTACTGAGCGAATTACCAGAACTAAAGGCTGACAAGTCCCACATCTTGTTGGACGTGGGTCTAAAAGATGTGACTGCTGAGAGATAGTATGCATTGGTTTCAATTTTACAAAGTACCCCAAATTATGTGAGTTCCATCAGGTTGGAAAATAGTGAACGTGTCTCGTTCTGACCTTTGACAGCAGACTCAAAGTGGGAAACTGCAGACCAGTTAACTGAAAATTTATCATGGGGGGGAAAATGGTGGAATGCATTAAGGTGGTTATAAGCAAGGCACTTAGAAAATCAATATGCAATCAGGCAAAATTAACATAGTTTTGTGAAAGAAAGCCACATTTGACTAACTTTGATAGCTACTTCCTCAAATAACTAATAATGTGCACAAAGGGGAACCTGTAAATGTAGTATAGGTGAATTTTCAGAAGATGTATGACCAGGTGCCAATTCAAAGGTTACTGCAGAATACAAATTTAATGTGTAGGGATTAATATATTAGCATGGATAGAAGGATAATTAGTTAAGAGGAAACAGTTGGCATAAATGGATCATCTTTAGGTTTAGAAGAGGTAGCCATTGGAATGCCTTGGGGATCAGTGCTAGGACTTTGACTTGTCACATTCAGTGACTTGGATGAAGAGATGTTGCAAATCAGTTACACCCTATTGACAACTCACTCTCCTATTTATATCTATTTGTAGACTCTTTCATTTGTGGGCAAAAGATGGCAGATGGGGTATAATGTGAGAAAATGTGAACTCGGCCACTTTGTCAGAAAGAATAGAAAAGCAGCATATTATTTAAATGGAAAGAGATTGCAAAACTCTGAACAGAGGGATCTAGGTGTCCTGGTACTTGAATTGCAAATAAAAAATGTATGTAGGCATGTCAAGTGATTAGGAAAACAAATGGAATGTTGTAATTTATTACAAGGGGAATGGCTATATGGAATGTTTTGCTACAATCATACAGGTATTGGTGAGACCACATCTGGCGCATTCTGTACAGCTTCTCTCCTCTCCTTTTACTTAAGAGAGGATATAAATGCAAGAGAAGAACTTAGACAAGGTTGACTCCCCTCTCTCCTGGAATGAGGGGTTATTCTATGAGGAAATTTTGGTACTGTATCCATTGGGATTTAGAAGAATGAGAGTTTATTTTATGGAAACACAGGATCCTGAGGGGACTTGACAGTATAGATGCTAGAAGGAAGTTTCCCATTATGGGAGAGACTAGAACTAAGGGACACTGTTCAAAAAGGAATCTCTTATTTGTGACAGAGGCACTTTTTCTGAGGTTGACATTCTGTGGAAGATGCAAGGTTGTTCTATATTTTAAGGCGGAGTTAGATTCTTGATTACAAGGGAGTCCAAGGTTATTGGGATAGGCAGGAGTGTGGAGTTGAGGCCATAATCAGATGAACCATGATCTTTACAGATGGCAGAGTAGGCTAAAGGGACCAAATGGCCTACTCCTGCTCATAATTTGCATGTTTATATGTAACAGAGAAGATTATGCTCCCTGACATTCAGTTTTCAAATAGAGGGTGATTCTATGGGTTTTTCTCCCCCACCCCACCCCGCTCCTCCCAGCAGTTTCTTCTAGTTTATCCAGCAGACCATCATCACCAGTTACCGCATCCACTGGGAATGTCCACACCTCACTGAGCAGTCAGACTGGGCTCAGCACCACTCCAAGGTAAGGAGCTGCACAGTTGAAGAATTGTTAATATAGGAAATGGGAGTTGGAAAAGCATTTGGTCCTTTGGCCAGCTCTGCCAGTCTTAAAATTGTGGCTGGATTTCCACCTCCACTCCATCCTCCTACACTATCTCCATATCTCTTTAACACAAAAACTTGTCAACTTTCACTTGAATGTGTTTTAACGTGGTGAGCTTCAGAAATACAAAGACTCTCAATCCTTTCAATGAAGACATTTCTTCTCCTGAGTTCTAAATGCCTGTCCCTTACTCTAAGACAATGATATTGTTGAAGATTCCCCAGTCATGAAAATATCTTTCTCTGCAGCCTAGTGAGATCAGCCCCTTTGAATTTTGTTTTGATGAGATCAATTTTCACTTTTCCTTTAGGGAAAATAGGCTACTGTTCTATACCTTAAACCTTTCACAACTGACCTCCACCTCTTTCCCCCCAAAAGGGTGGCACTTTTGTAAAACAAACAAGCTGGGAGCAATGATTTTAGAAATGTCCCTAATGACTTGAAAAGTCAGTGTGTGCTTTGTTGTGCTGTTACTGTGATTGCACACAATACATGCAATTGCCTTAGCTTCTCGAAGGTGTAAACCTATGACTGTACCACCCAGCCATTCTAATTACCTCAACCATATAGAATCATAGTTTTTCAAGGATGTAACTAGTAGAATTGATAAGGGGAAGCCAGTGAATGTGGTTTACTTGGACTTTTCAGAAGACTTTTAATAAGGTCCCACATAAGAAATTAGCATGCAAAATTGAAGTAGAATAGCAATTTATTGCCACTTATGTAAGAAAATACAGCGAGATGTGTATAAGTCGTCACAATTTGGCACCATTTTAGTTACAGAAATTTTAAAAAGAAATAATTGAGACAAAGTTAGGACAAAGTTCATCTTTTGTTCCCTCCACGGCTTCTGGGTTTCTGGAGTGACGACAAAGATGCCACTGTTGAAGCTGCCCATGAGGTCGCCAAAGCAAGGATTTCCTGACTGGAACCACTATGCTGCCACTGCTAAAGCCCCTGCATTGCTGCCATAGCAAGGAGGGATAGAATGGATCCACCACGTCACCGATACCAAAGCCGTCGCTACTTTAGTCGCTGGCCAAAGCTGCCACATTGCCGCCGTATCCATGAGGAATGAACCAGAACCACATGCTGCCACTACTACCGCCACCGCAGGAGCAACAGACCAGACCCACTGACAGTGAAGCCTTTGATAAAGCTGCAGCTAAGATGGCCACCAAGAACAGACATCTGGATCCATCACGCTGGCGCTGACACAGGCCCTCGCAATTGCCACCTTCCACTGCTGAAAATTAGAAAAGGTGAGCATTGATACAAAAGAAAAATGAAGAAACAAAATGGAAAAATAAAACCAAAGAAGAATATGGCAGGCCAGGTGAGTGGGAGAGTATGGACATAGAGCTCAAACACTTCCTACCCTGCCACTGTCACCATCAAACCAGGAGGGGATGGGAGTGAGATGGCTGTCATTGTTGACTGTTGCTTAAGTGCATGAAATTAGGAGTAGTGTACTGACATGGATAGAGAACTGGTTGGTATACAGGAAGCAGGAATAAACAAGCCTGTTTCCAAGTGGCAGCCAGTGACTAATGGGGTACTGCAGGGATCAGTGCTTTGGACCCCAGAAATTCCCAATATATATGAATGCCATGAAGGAACTAAAATAATATCTCGCAAATTTTCGGATGACCCAGAAATGGGTGGGCTGGTGAACTGTGAGCAGGATGGAGATGCTTCAGTGTGGTTTGGACATGCTGAGCAAGTGGGCAAATGTGTGGCAGCTGCAGTATAATGTGAATAAATGTGAGGTTATTCACATTGGAAGGAGAAAAAAACAGGAAGATGGATTACTATCTGAATGGCAAATGGAAAGGGGAGGTGCAGTGAGATCTAGGTGTCCTTGTGCACTGGATGCTAAAAATAAGTATGCAGATGCAGCAGGTGGTGAAGAAGGCAAAATGTTACTTTGGCCTTCATAGTGAGAAAAATTTGAGTGCAGGAGCAGGGATGTCTTGCTGCAGTTGTATAGGGCCTTGATGAGACCGCACCCTGGAGTATTGTGTGCAGTTTTGATCTCCTGATCTGAGAAAGGATGTTCTGCCTACATACGGAGTGCAATGAAAGCTTACTAAACCAAAAGAACTGCAGATGCTGTAAATCAGGAACAAAAACAGAAGTTGCTGGAAAAGCTCAGTGGGTTTGGCAGCAACTGAAGAAAACATCAGAGTTAATGTTTTCGGTCCAGTGAGCGTTCCTCAGATGTTTTTGTTGTTGATGGTCTGTCGTAGTAGGACTGATGTATGAACACAACTGGATTAGTTAGGACCATATTCAGTGGAGCTTAGAAGAATGAGGGGGTGGATCCTTAGAAACCTATAAATTCCAACATGAACAGACAAGGTAAATGCAGGAAGGAAGTTCCTGACAATCAGGAGTCCAGAACCAGGGATCCCAGTCTAAGGATATGGGATAGATCATTTAGGACAGAGCTTAGGAGAAATTTCTTCATCCAGAAATTGGTAAGCCCATGGAATTCTCTACCATAGAAACTGGTTGAGGTCAAAACATTAAATGTTTTCAGGAAGGTGTTTATTAGCTTTTCGGGCTAAAGGGGATCAGAGAATATGGGGAGAAAATTAGAATAGGGTATGGATTGGATGATCAGCTATAATCACATTGAATGGCAGAGCAGGCTCGAGGGGCTGAATGGTCTCCTCCTGTTTTTGTGGTGGGAGGGATAGTTCTCTCAGATTATGGATGATCTCTGCAGATTCCCCTTTATTAACTAGCTTCCAGATCCTATGGTAACATGCAGCACAGATCTCCATTATAAACAGCTTATTTATTTTGTTTTCCAGCTCACGTTTCTGGTGGAATGGTACCTCATTCTTGCACTGAGGATTGAACATTCTGACTCCATCTCATCAGGACCCTTTTTTTATTTATTTTTAGCCTTCGACTTTCTACCATGTCCAGTGTCCAGTCATTCAGTGAGGAATGTTTGGACCAAACCTACACACAACAAACCATCTTTTATACCAGAGTTTTAGAAAGAGTTTTATGAAGAGAAGGCAAAGCAATTAGTGCTAATTCTCCACTGGATTCATCAATGTGCTGTCTTTTTCCTGATCCAATCCAATGGACTATCAAAACTGTCACCATCTGCTATTATTATCTAGTAACAATTTTTTGTATGGGCCTAAACCTGCATTTCATGTAACATTAGGAAGTGTTTAAGGAACTCCAACTAAATGAGATGAACTCCATTTTACTTAAATTAGGATTTAATATTGTATGCATCACTGCCTTTGCCTTTGTATTTGATGTGATTGGTTTAGCTCCATCTGTGCTAATAAAGTACACCAGGGAGGACAGTGATCACAGAATAAATGAATTAAGTTTGAAAATTGGGTCTAGGGTTTTTATGTTAAACCTAGATCTTTGAATTCTATATAAAGCTAAATATTAATTATCAAATAGTCTCAGCATAAGGAACCCTCTCACCATTATAAACACGAAGGATTCTGCTTACCTTCCGAGGCTGTAATCACAGCAGTTAATGTCCCATCCAGGCTGTATCCACCTCTTTCCCTCTGGCCTAGACAGTTGCCCTAGAATTATCATGTGCCACTGTTTCCTAGCCCGTAGAACATGTAATAAACTAGTAGCATCATGAGGGTGGATGAAATTCTTCTAATCATTTATCTAACCCCTACAAGATAAAACCACAGCTATTATCCTGGCTTTGATTTGCAAGGTCTGCTTGTTGAATTTATTCCACTGCATGTTGTGTTATCCACTTTGACTGACTTTTTAAATTGAAATTGTTGGAAATATTCCCCAGTTCTACATTTTTTTTTTGTTTTTCTTTTAGAAAAGTAAATATTAGATTTACCTGACTCATTTAATTGTGTTTTTAAAAAAGACTCTTCTGTTCCTGCTGCAATCACATCAATGCTCAATTTTAAAAATATATGTATTGCTACAGTGTCCACCTAGTGAAAGTGATTATATTTATCATGACTAGGTCTTTTTGAAGTGTTTCTGCATCCTTTGAATCTTGTTCTTTATGAAGTGGCCTTTTTCAATAAATGTGTATATCTTATATGAAGTTATTACTTGCTTTCAGGAAGTGAAGAATTACCGATGGTGTATGGTACAATAGCATGTACCATGAATAATTGTTTCATTTATGCCATTTTTATGTTCTGTGGTTGAGGATAGTTGTAAATAGATGAACTTGATTGGGGAAACACATTATTACTCAACAAATCCTGTGCCACAGAGATGTACCACTCTGAAATAGAATGCAAGCAAAACAAAAATCAGTTCCCAAACTTGTTACAATGGGGTCCACAGAGGCAACAATCCTCTTTTCAATGGTAACAGGGATGGGGTCAGGAGTGTGGGAGAAACATGGGGTTTTATTTCCACTCCCTCCTTTCAAACTTTAGGAAGTCCTGCCTTTCCTTCACTGCCTGGATAGTTAGGGACTGAAGGGAGTAGGCTGTTAGACAGTTCCTCTCTGGCCATAAAATGGGAGAATGTTACTGCTTTAGCCAGTGATGGATTTGGTTTCTCCAAGTGCAGCTATCATTGCATTGGTGTCATTTCTAAATCACTCACCAATCCGTGCTATGAACTTTGAAGCACAGTAGAAATTAGGCCAGTGGGCTGAACAGATTTTAAAAACAAAAGCAAATTGAAATGCTCCTGGATCCTGGAACAGGTTGGGTCAAGTCTCAGAAACAAAACCAGTCCTGAGTGCCTGAAGTTTCGGATGATCTGTGATAGTGAGGGGAGTGGAAATAACCAGAATTGAGTGTGCACCAGAGTGTGGCCTATTTTCAGGGGAAGGGTTTATGCGGCAGCTTCACCAACTGTATAATTAATAAAAACCATACTTAATGGTTCAAATACCAGTTTTCCAATTCCTTCCATAGTTTAATTTATTCTGTTAGGTGATGTTTTGTTAATATTTATGAGATTGTATGTCCTGGGATCGGAACTCCTGACTGAATTTTGTACGTTTCAAAAATAAAGTTTTTAACTAAATCTTTCTGATGAGTTTTCAGTTTCAGCTCTGTCTCTGTGCACTTTCCCATTTTGTAGAAATCTCAGACACCCCCTCCCCCCCCTTGTCAGCCATCTGCAGGGACCATTCCCTCCAGGACACCTAGGTCCACTCCTCCTCCACTCTTGGCACCTTCCTTTGCAACTGCAGAAGGTCTAGCACCTGCCCACTTACTTCCTCTAAGGCCCCAGCCCCACCTTCCATTGTGAAGCAGTGATTTACCTGTACTTCACTCAACCTAATCTAATGTATTCACTGTTCACAATATGGTCTACTGTACAGTGGGAAGATGAAACACAGACTGGGCAATCGCTTTGCAGAACACCTACATTCTGTCTGCAAAAATGACTGCGAGCTTCCTCTTACTTGCTACTTCCACACCACCACCTGTTCCCTGGCCAACACCTCTGTCTCAGGCTTGCTGTGGTGTTCCAGTGAAACTCGGTGCAAGCGGGAGGAACAGCAACGTCTTTTCCACTTGGGGATTCAAGCCCTAAAATTATTGAACTTGATATTGAGGCACCTTCTCCCATGTCCTTACGCCTAGTGTCAAGACTTCACCTGACGAAGGGGCTGTGCTCTGAAAGCTTCAGATTTCAAATAAACCTAAATAAAAACCAAAAAAACTGCAGATGCTGTAAATCAGGAACAGAATCTGAGGAAGGGTCACCGGACCCGAAACATTAGCTCTGTCTTTTCCTTCACAGGTGCTGCCAGACCTGCTGAGCTTTTCCAGCAACTTCTGTTTGTGTTTCAAATAAACCTGTTGGACTATGACCTGGTTCAGAGATAGTAGGAACTGCCGATGCTGGAGAATCTGAGATAACAAGGTGTAGAGCTGGATGAACACAGCAGGTCAGGCAGCATCAAAGGCCTAGGCCCGAAACGTCAGCCTTCCTGCTCCTCTGATGCTTCTCGCCATGCTGTGTTCATCCAGCTCTACACCTTGTTATCTCGCACTATGACCTGAAGTTGTGTGACTTCTGATCTTAACCCTAAACTTACATACCAGGCCTTGTCATCACACGGTCTACTATTACACACAACCCATTGTCAGCTCCTGATAGTCCCCATTAGCAGCTATTCATTCTCCTAGGCTGACCTTTACCCATTCCTTTGTCCAACTGTTTATCTCCTTGGGCTATATCTCCACCTATGGTTTACTCCTCACCCCCTACCCCTAGCTTCTGTATAAAAACCATCCTTTTCCCCCACTACCATCAGTTCTGAGGAAGGGTCACTGAACCCAAAACGTTAACTCTTTCTCTCCACTGTGGGTGCAAGACCTAATTCCTGTTGATTCCTCTCTCGCCCGCAGTCCCGGCCAGTACCGGCCGATGGCGCTGCTGCTGGAGCCCGCAGTCCCGGCCAGTACCGGCCGATGGCGCTGCTGCTGGAGCCCGCAGTCCCGGCCAGTACCGGCCGATGGCGCTGCTGCTGGAGGCTGCGGGCTGCGAACGGCCGCACGAGCTGAGAGACCGGGCTGTGGGAACCGGAGACCGGGAGCGGGGCGTGTGGCCGAGGGTGAGTTTGTTCCCGGGGGAGGGCGGCCATTG